TGGCAGCCGGCGCGGGTGAGCCCCGCGGTGCGGGAAGGTTCGGTGCTGGCAGGGCCTGTGGTCCCTGTCTGGAGCCGCCCCTCTCCAGCTCCGGTGTTTTATTTCCAGTGGGGCTTGCGATGCTGTTTTTGCGCTCGGTTAGCAAACACCAGCACCAGCGTGGGACCCGTGCGATACCCGAGAACCTCGCGTCTTCCAAAACCTGTTGTAGAAACCTGGCTCGTCTCAGAAGAGACGAGTAGAGGCTTGACAGGTACTTGAATAGGTCAGAGCTGCCTTACGAAGTCTCTGTGGAGACTCAAAGGTCACCGCTTTCAGACGCTGTCCTGTCTCGTTCCACTCAGATGTTAGCGATGTCGTGCCAGGGACTGCAACAGCTCCTTCCTCCTACAGACAATTTGGTGTTAATCCTCTCCAATTTGGAACACAGAGCTCGGTGTTCTCTTCCCTGAGATGACACAGGTTACGTAGCTTGGTGACGTGGGGGTGACAGCCAGCCATCCCAGCTGCGCCGGGGCTCGGAAGCGCGACAGGGTTCCCGTCAGGTCTCCATTGGAGCTCCAAAAACCCGGTGTAACCGTGCTGGCCAAGAGATTCACTCTTCTCTTGCACGTTAAGCTTGAGGACAAGGAGGTGTCCTGACAGGCAGGAGGATGAGAACGTGGTGCTAAGAGGTACAGGATCAGACCGGGGTCTGTGTCCGCTGCCTGAGGGTGCCAGCGCTCAGGGAAGGAGTGGGAAGCGGGACACGCAAGTCGTGTCCTTTCGCCAGAGCTGCCAGTCCCCTGGCAGGCTCTCTGCAGCCCGGGCTGGCAGGACAGGAGGGCTTTCCTTTCGACCGTGTTTGTGCCGTTGCCCACGGCCGCGGCTGGACGTGGTCTCGGTGGCTGGCTGGACGTGCACGAGAGGCTGCTCTGACCAGGGCTCTCCCGTGCTGCTGCAGGCCCGTCTCAACCCGGAGAGCACAAGCAGCCGTCCGGAGACCCTACAGCAGTACGGGCAGCGTGCACGGGGAGCTGGGACGGAACCCGTACCCCGCTGCCCAGCATCCCTTGGGCACGGGTGCCAGCAGCCAGCGGGACCTCCCGCCCACGGGCGTTGTGCCCTCCGCTTCCCAGAGCCCCGGCACCCTTGATCCAGGTCTCTTCTTCCCGGTGGCTGATGAGGTTGCACAGCATGAGGTGATTTAACGAGGTAGATGACCATTTTCCTGCTAACAACCACATCATTTTCTATCTTTTTCCTCTGGAGCAAGAGGCAAGGAAAAAGCCGTAGAGCAATAGAAACCCATTTCTGAACGTGATTGACTTCGGCACGTTCTCTGTTGTACGGATGTGTCACTGAAATAATACCTGTGTTTTAGCTCCACAAATGACACGTCTCTGAACGCCAAGGAAAAAGCCGTAGAGCAATAGAAACCCATTTCTGAACGTGATTGACTTCGGCACGTTCTCTGTTGTACGGATGTGTCACTGAAATAATACCTGTGTTTTAGCTCCACAAATGACACGTCTCTGAACGCTCCCACGTCAAACAAGGTGGCAGAGGGAGACGGGTAACCGAGACGGCGGCGTCTC